AACCTTACTCTATAATTTGGATAAAGTTGAAAAGTATATAATTAGATCAAGACGGAAAAAGCATATAGTATGTGAAAAATACGTATGTGTATTATTCAGCAAATTCTTTAAAATAGTGAACACTTGTTTATTTTATTTTATTTCTTTAACAATTTGTTTAGAAATGTAAGCTTTATGTGTATAATTAAAAAATGGTGGGAACATAATGTGTATTCAACGCCACTACATCCATAACAAGTACGTTGGAGTTAAAAAAAGGTACAATTTAACAAATTATTCACAGAAAGTATATATCTATTTAAAAAAAATACACTAATCTAGTTTACTTTTGACTTGTATCATTTCCCTTTTCCAGTTTTAGCATCCATTCCCATATATAACCCTTCCCAGTCATTAAATTGTTGTTTCATTAAGTGGAAAGTAGGTTTTTTTTTCATGAATCAAAAATTGAAAAACAAAGAGTTCTGTCATATTATTCTTAATTTGGACGTTCTCAGAATTTAAATTTTTTTATTTTTATGGCTTTATATATAACTCTATCAAATATATAAAAATTAATTAATTTGTCATTCTTCTGTTTATTTTAGACACATCACACATGAGTTAACATTTGAAATCCCACATTCCAAATTAATTAATTTTAAGAAAAGGATAATATTTTTTTAAACATGAACAAATTCTCTTACTAGAAAAGAATCGCATGAACAAATTGTGGCAGGGGAGAGGGGCCCCTCTGAATATATAAAGCGACTCCAGGCTTCCTCCCAACGGTTTTCCAAGGAATATTGTGTTTGGCTGCATGGAAAAAGTCGGTCGTGGCAGCCTTTCATGGATGCGACGGTCCATGTCCAATCGCACCTCAAACAAATTTGACCTTTTAATATCCTGCTCGGACAATATTTGACATTTTTTTCCGGTTCTACCAAACAAGAAGCATGAAGTCAAAGTGACGCCAGACTGCAATGTATATCTAGGAGATTAAGCATTTTAAGGGAAGATATTTGTATTTAATTAAAAAAGAATATTTGTTGTGGGATCTGTTTTATATGAAAATTCAACTATCTGAATTGTTTAATATATAAGTATCGATTTATAAATCATTTTTTACAAAAATTCAATTTAATTTGAAATCATTTGCATATTTAACTATCACAATGAAATTTCAATGTATTCATATAAAAAGATGTTCGTTAATTTTTTTGAACTCAATTGGATGTCTCAAATATTTCCAATTTGGTTAGTATTTTGCAAGAATGATCTATAAGGTGTAACTTAAAAAATAAACAATTTAAATCGTTAAAATTCGATATGGTGTAAGTCCCACAATTAATCCCTATTTTTATGAAAATTGAGAATGCATTCTCTTAAATCCTCCTCTAGTAGATATTGTGGAAGAGTGAAAAGATTGGGACTCGGAGGGTCTTGAAGCTTGATTTGATTTGGGGGAGGCAAGTTACAGAAGGACGTTGACATGCTCATCTTCAAAACGTGGCATTGGTGGAATCGTAGAGGACCTTCTCAACCGTAAGCCTATAACTATTATAAATGTGATGAGGATTTTTTTTTTTAAGTGAGATTTTTTATAAATTTTTTATCACGTCATAATTTAACGTTAATTTTTGTATTAATATTATAAAATATTATGTAAAAAATATGAAATAATGAGTTTGTGTTGAAGTAGGTGGCCAGATAAGCAAAGACATTGACCGCATGTTTGCTTTTTTTAAGGCATTGATTACTTGGGGCTGGTTATGGGTAACATTGATCCACCAAAATCTAGGGTTCTTCCAGGGAAGAATTTCTCAAGTAACTTTCTTATCTAATATAACCAATTTATGATAACAACCAAAACAAAATTGTTATTAGCACTCTAAAAAATTTATGATAACAACCAAAACAAAATTGTTATTAGCACTCTACAAAATTTATTTTACACTCGCAAGACTCTTCGTAAAGCAATTTATCTATTATATTCCTATTAAAGAGGAGTTGCCCAATGATTGGAGCGAATTCCAAACCCTTGTTCCACATGACTCATCTTGAGTTTGATTTCTGACTGAAATGCCTATGTGAGTCTCTCGACTTTTGAGAGAGCGAACTGTCGTGGCTTCATCACCAACTTGTCCCGTAAAAAAAATGTACTTAGAAACTTTTTAAAGTGTCAATAATAACTGTATTAATTAAAATTAAACTTTTTAGGCCACTTAGTATTACGGTCTAATAATATTTCTCTTCGCTTAGAAGTGAGAGGTCTTAAGTTCGAATTTTGTGGATGGTGAATTCGATACCAAACTAGGTTGCCCATTGTATGACTTAGCCGAACTCTCCCTCCTCCTAATATAAAAAATATCGAAGTACTAAAAAAAAATTCAACTTTTTAGTATTAGCTTTAACTTTTTTTATTAGATGTCGTCGTCATTGGTTGTCAACCGTGAATATATAAAAATAAATAAAATTTAACATAGAGTACATAAACTAATAATCGTCCAAATACACGTGAAAGTCATTAAAAATTTTGAATCATTTGTTGTGGATAACTGTTATGAGGTTTATTCCAGTGACATCAATCAAATTAGTAGTCTCTTAATTTTGATTGTAGTGGCAGTGAAAGGCAAGAACCAAGGGCAAGAAGTTGTGTAGGGCAAAAGGTGCCTTTGCTTGGGTCGACCTATCCAGGAGGTTTGCAACCAGCTCTGAGTGTGCTGAACAATGTGTTAAGCACAATAAAAAGCCAGTGACATTGCTGGATATAACAAACCTCTCACTCCTGCGTAAAGATGGACATCCTTCAATTTACGGGTTGGGAGGCCGCACCGGAATGGACTGTAGTCATTGCCTCATTGGTGTCTTTGTGGAGTCCCAGATACTCGGAATGAGATTCCCTACAATTTTATTCTTTGAGACATTAATTATTGAATACCATAAAAAAGATGGTGTCATATGATATTGAAATAAGGGCATGTAGATAATGTTGGAAATAATAAATATTAGTAAATGATAATTTATGTTGACATGGTAAATCACAAACAATACAATACTTGTCTTTTGTAGGCAAAACGCTCTTCGTTAATGCTTGATCAAAACAAGATTTTAGGTTAAGGCGTGGAAACTCACATTCCTTAAGAGTAGATTTCGCTAATCTGAGACAATATCTTGGTATAGCAGGTTATGACGCCCTACTCTCTAGGATACACTGTGATCCTTGTAAGCATACACTTGCAATACTTGGATAAGTTGACAACTCAATTTTTACGTTGGTATGAAGGAGGTGAAGAATATAATAAAGCTTTCACGAATAATGAATCAAAAAGATAGAAGAAGAAAGAAGAGGAGATGATTGTAATCTTCAACCTTTTTCATAGAGATTAGCAAGTATGTATATATCTAGGACGTGAGAGTGTATGTATATATCTAGGACATGAGAGTAAGTATATATCTAGGATGTGAGTACTTTTGCTAACCATGATAGACTATAGTGTATATTCACCATATACCTAATTATCTCAACGTGTCCTACGTAACCTTGTTTTTTTTTTTTTTCAAAATTGAAAAAGTAACAGTAAATGTGAAAGTTATTTAGAATTAGGTGAAATGACATGTGACAGATGATTATGTGTATTGAGCTTACACCATAGTTATAGTGATGAGCAAAAATGCACCTTGTATAAGACTGTCTCAAGAAGACATCGGAAAAGAAAGACATAAGATAAGCATTTGGCAATTAAAACTTTGGAGCAATAATAATAAATTGCAAGAGTAATCACCACAATAAGAATGGTTGATTGAGGCCACCAACTATAACGGCTAGAATTGGATCTTGATTGGAATCATCTTTAATATTCAAGAGAGAATTAAGCCATAATAAATATATAGATGTCAAACGGCTAGTAGTATTCTGAAGTACCCAAATAAAATTTCCAACAGATAAAACTTTACACGTCTTTATTTCTTTAGTATGGGACGCCCTGTAACGAAGTATTTGTGTTTTGTTTTGACATAAAAGAAATGAAACGTTAGTTGACATTAAAGTATGAACTATTGAACGAGAAAGCATCAAAGCTGCTACACACGTCAATTTGGAACTTGGTGAGTTATGGACCCATGGACAGTACGCCATTTGTTATTATACAAGTAGAGGGAAATATTTTTAAGTGTCATTCCATTTGTATAATGACATAGAAAATATGTATCCGCGTTCTAGCACACTGAAAAAAGTTCTTCTTCTTCAACGTAATATCACTTCACTGTAAAATTATGAATGAGAACAATTCATTCTCTTATCATCATTTAAATATCACATCTAAAAAAAAATTGTTCAAGTTGGGCACAATTTAATAATCTATATGCGTCTGACAAATCAACACTTGCAGTAACAAGTAGCACATCCTTATGATGAACCGTCAATTTCTTTGATTGATATAAATGACAAAATGGTATCCAACTCAAACAAAAAGTTTCTATAAATAATTTTTAGATGATAAAGAAAAAATCATTCTGATCATAACATTTGTACAGTTTCGTTGCCTATCCCAATTCCAATAATACAAAATTTAAATATAAAAACAAAATAACTATGCAAAAAGTTTGTAATTTAAGTGGTTGAGAACGTTTACTTTTACAACTCGACATTCTAAATTTGAATCTGCCTCCATTAATATGGCTTGTATTAAAAAATAAAAAATAAAAGCCCTGATTAGCTGTGTGAAACCTTCTAAAAGCAACACCATGGCCTTTGTACAACCTATCATGACCACCCTAACGAAACACTCCACTGCAGGATCAGCACTTCCCTTCGCATGTAATATTGGCTCCTTTTTCTTGTCATGAATTTGGAACAATTACTTAACCATACTTCCACCAAGAAAATCAGAAAATGCATTCTTAATATGTTTTTAACCAAACTAACGACTCTCGAACATGTTGTCGATAATTTTTGGCCGCCAGCAATCTGTTGTCCATACTTTTTTGACAATATCGATACTCATCTGTCATGCAGAGAGTTTTTCTGCTGAAAGGTGTGTGACATTGATTGCAAATTTTTGTTCAATTACATACGAGCAAATGAAACCTACGAAAACTTCCGGCCAGATTCCAATACCAGACTGGAAGCAAACAACCATCCAAGACTGATGTAGAAAATGGACATCTACATTCAAATATATAAACACGAAAAAAGCCGGGTTCTAACAACCAAAGTAAGTACTGTAGAGTTCGGCTTCAAATCTACTTTTGTATCTGTATTCTTTTGTCCCTTATCGGCAGCTCCACTGGCATCTGGGCTTCATGGGGATGATCTTGCCCCTTGTATACCTTCAGGTGGTTGAAAAGCGCTCTCCCAAGCTGCACGACAGAGTTTGTTTTAGAAGAAACTATTCAAGACAGATGATGCAGAGCAGTTGGGTAGTGAAAAACAATGCTGAAGCCGAGCACAACAGTCATGCAGAGAGAATCACGTGCATATACTTTTTCGCTGTGAATGAGTTTCGTAGTTTCAAGTTCCATCTATTTAAACTCTATGTTTAGCATTTCAATCATACAAAACCAAAATGAAATATCTAGCTTTATTTGTGTATGCGTATGCATATAGGAGAATAACTTTGAGTAAAAGAACTCACCCTCCCTTTTGGAAGCATACCACGAACAGCATGTTCAATAATCCTCTCTGGGATTCTCTGCTGTAACTGGTCAAACGTTTCCACTGTCATACCACCTGGTCGTCCAGAATGCCTCCTGTAGAGTTTTTGGTTCCTTTTCTTGCCAGATACGGCAACCTTTTCAGCATTTATCTATAAATTTTGACACAATCATCCACCATAGCATAGAAGTATTTGCAAAGCCAAAATAAGAGAAAAATGAAAAGAAGTAAAAGTTAAGCAAATTCCAGAACCTCGAAAACCAGAGAGAACAGCAATATAACACTCGGAAAAAAAAAAACACTGATCTGCTAGAAACCCAAAGCTTGAGTAAAGCATTTTCGGACCTGCCCACAGTAAAGCATACACAACTGAGAATACAAAAAAGATTTAAAGCTAATTTTTCAAAACCAAAAGGTTTTAAGACTCTTTCAGACTACATTCAGGGTAGATGCTTAATATTAACAAACACCAAGGGGATAGTAGACAAAGTATAAGAAAGTAGAAACGTAAAGATAAAACCACTACTCGTGGAAAAGGATTGAAGGTATATTTGGAGAACAGTCAAAGGCCCATGCAGTAACCGGCACTTCAAAAAGACTCCCTTTCCTCTAGCAAACAGAAAGGACATATTGAAAGAAATGGGAAGTGGAGTCCACTCGAAATACAACCTAAATAACCAGAATCTCAATAACATGACAAATAAACACATCAGCCATTTTCACCCAAAGAATAACGACAAGCAGAGAAGAAAACAATGAACAATAAAGGAAAAGGCGGTTCTCACTAGAAAGCTATTTCTTAGCCTAGTTACATTCTATACAAACCTACACCATAAGCAGTTTTAAAAAATTAATATACTAAATGGCATCTGTGGTTGAGTCTTTATCAGTTTTGTCATTGTATAGTTGACACTATAAAAGTAGACTCAATCGGCAATTATACAAATAGACCAGGAAACACTGATGGTACCTCATTTTGTGGATTTTGAACCCATTTCGCTCCTTAACAGTATCAGTATCAGTAACCAAAGCCATTTCTCAGAAGTCGCATATAATAATCTCACTTGGCAGTTGGCATCTAACTAGAGGCTTAAATAAATCCCAGCTACTGGGATTTTAAATATTCTAATCTTCCAGACAGGCATGGAGCACCTTCAAAACAAATTACGAAGCCCAAGTCTTGACAAAATGGTGATGGAACTAAGCAAATCGAAATATACAAAAATAAACTAGCAGATTAAATTGAGACAGAGACTAATCAACCTCAATGTACATGGGCACATGGAAGAAAGCATACATATGCATGCAAATACGATTTTAAACAAGATCTGAAAAGAAATCTCAGCACAAGCAATATTCCCCATTGGGTCAAACATGTTACGTATATCCAAATGGATTGCACAATAAACTAAAAAAAAAAAGGTCGTACCCAGTGCACAAGGCTCCCGCTTTACGCAGGGTCTGGGAGAGGTGAATGTCGGCTAGCCTTACCCCCATTTTATGGAGAGGCTGCTCCCAAGTCTCGAACCCGAGACCTACCGCTCATGGGCGAAGGCACTTACCATCGCACAATAAACTAAACACTATTATAATTATGACATAATAATCTAACATTGAAGATGCTTATTTGATTCCAACAATTATACAACTAACCACCCAATGAACATAAACTAAGTAAATTGTGTGAGGACGTACCACATGGTATATCCATGCTATCAATATTTACCAAGACAACATGTTAAAAAAAGAAAAGAGACATCATAATGTATGAGAATTATATCCATCATATATTTTCCATGATCTCAAGTAAGAACTAGACAGTGATCTAGAATATCTAATTCCACCCCAACCAAGAACCTTAAGAGCCACTCCTCACTCCTCAGCCACTACCATATAAGTAAAAGGAAGATTGTAATATAGTCTGCATCTAGAGCAATTATAATGAAGAAAATGCTAGTGCATGACTAGAAACTCCACATACCACAATGACAAATGCTCCCATGTCCACACTGGGGGTGTAGGTCACCAAATTTTTCCCGCGGATGTAAATGGCAATTGTGGATGCCATTCGTCCAAGAATCTTGTCTGTGGCATCAACGATAAACCACGGTTTGTCAGTATTCACGTGGTCTGCAGCTTTTGGATACCATGTATTATTCCAAATGTCCTGGAGAAAGAGTGGAAAACCTGAATAAGGACCTAAGTACATTTTGATATTGCCCTCAAAGAAAAGTATATATCGACATCAATAACTTCTAGGAGAGCATATTTAAACAACATGTAATAAAAATGCATGTTGTAATATTATAAACAGGCCGAAAACATATACTCAATAAAGGTGTTTGAAGAAATCAGTAGAAGTTTCTGACATTCAAAATCTACCAAGTATCCTTTAGAAAACTATCCATTGGTCTCAATATTTCACATGGAAGACTAAATAAGTTACAGTTTATACCAAACAAGCTTACGAAATTGGAGACTACATAGAAATTAAGCATGAAGCACAAGTCTTGAGCACACCTACCATTAAAATTCAAATCATTTTTCTGCTTTGCTTTCTGGGTCCACATTTCTAACTCAAAATTTTCAGAAACAAAATTGAAAAAGTACCTTCCTTTATGTATGTATGCATGTATGGAGAGAGAAAGTGGGTGTGAGTACATACAGGGCCGTCGACTTCGTAGTCTTCAAACATCCATCGCTGATCCAAAGGGACCCGAACGAAGTCCTCAGTTTTGCTGCTGAAGACCTCGAAGCTCCGCCGTGTGTTTCCTTCACTGTTTAAGCTCAGGTCGGTGGTGGAGGGAAACCAGAGCTTTTGCGGTGGCGCCACCAAGTACCCGACAAATGGGGTTTTAAAGGCGGGTTTTGCAGAGGAGGAGAATGGGGGTTTTGAAGAGCAAGTGGAGGAGGATGAGTGCAAGGAAGAAGAAGATGAAGCTGCGAGCGAGAGTACGGACATCTTTGTTTCTCAGTCTCTTGTGTTTCTGTGTTGGGTTTTTGGGGGTTGGGTTTCCGAGTGTTTGTTGATAAATTAGGATAAGATGGTCGACTTGCAGATGAACATGGATCAAAACGCAACGCATCGGTCGAATTATTTTTTACAAACATTTCAAACAAAACATTTGTTTTCTCGCACAAAAATCATATTTTTGGTGTGATTAGTGTGCAAAAATACATCATAGGATTGGATATTAAATTATCAGATGTTCTGTATTATAGTAAGGCTTGAAAGCCATCATGATTGTGAGGATCTGTATTATTTCATCTCCCTTTTACTGGCTCTCAAAGTTATTTTTACAACAATTTCGACTTTAGTTTTTAACTTTTTATTTGTGTTGAAGATATTTAAAACTTACATGAGAGAAATACATGCTTTATATCAACATGCGGATATTTATCTAAATTACAAAAGAATAATTCGAACTTGGGTGCAGCAAGAGAGACATACTCCTCTAACCAACATAGCTTAGTTTCAGTTTTTCACTACCTAAAATGCCGAATATTTTTCTCCAGATCAGCAAGATGGGGTGATTCAAATTTAAAGCAATTTGGAATTAAAAAGAGAAATATGTTTAGACCGAAATTTTAATTGATTAATGTTGAGTATTGTGTTTCTTAAAACTTTCTTTTTTTACTCAATAAATTGGATTTTGGTGTTGGGATGTTGCTCATATGAATGTTAAACTTAAAAGATGTTTTAAGTTTAAATTCTTTCGTCATTTTTGTTAAAAAAAAATAAAAAATCTCTAGTTACTTGTTATTAAATAAAAAAAATGGAAAATCAAGTATTTAAATAAAAACATCATAATTATTGCAAATGACTTTTTAACGTGGAGTTGTGAAAAACAATCATATTTATACATTTTAATGTAAATTTAATCTCATTAATTTGTCTTACCAATAACAATTAATTATTTATATCATTAACGTTATCCATTTATTAAACAAACATCTCAATGACAACTAATATGGACTTTTCCAAAATAATACTTTTTCTTCACAGACACTCAAACTCACATTCAAATCACACCAAACCCCCTCCAATTCCTTCCTTATTCCAATCTCAATCCCACCGCTCCTCCTCCTCCTCCCTCCTCATCCTCCCCATAAAATTCCTAATCCCAATCCACCCTCACCGCCACAATCGCTCCAAACAAACAATGAACAGGCCTCCCGCAGCCAGTGTGCAGAGTGCTGTGTCCCAGGCAATGAGCCTGATCCAATCGTCGCCTCCGACTTGGCAGTCCGCCGTCCTCAGCAACGTCCTCATATTTCTGCTGGGTTTTCCAATCCTGGTCTCCGGACTCTCTGCCTCTGGCATTGGAGCTGCTTTCTTGCTCGGTACTCTCACTTGGCGCGCTTTTGGGTCTTCTGGGTTTCTCCTGGTGGCCACGTACTTCGTCATTGTGAGTAAAATTTCTCTTGCTTTTATGTGCCTGATCGTTTGTTGGATATTAACTTTATCTGGGTTTTTATTTTGTACTGTTTCCTGGATATAAATTGGTTATTCTATTAATTTCGTAGAGCTTTTTTATAATTGGAATCAAACTCGTCGTCAAGGGAATACCTAAGACAGGAATACCACTAGACCTTAATACTAAGCGACGATGATTGGTATATAGTATTCTTTCTCTATCAAACGGAATTGCGCCTTAAAGTTCTGTTCTTTTATAATATTTGTTAAATTTTTGGTTTTTCTTTTCTTCGAAATTTGAGTGAGGGATGCAAAAGTTAAGGTGCTGAACTTTCATAGTGACAGTGTATACTCAGGTCTAAGGGGATTTTCATGAAATCTGTAACTTCGTAAACTTAACAATTCCACACTATTAGGCTCATTAATGAATCTAATTTCTGAGCGGTATTGATCTCTGATGTTTTGTAATGCGGTTTTGTCAAAATCTTCAGGGGACGGCAGTGACAAAGGTGAGAATGAAACAGAAGGAGGCTGAGGGGGTAGCCGAGAAGAGGAAAGGACGGAGAGGCCCGGGCAGTGTCATTGGATCCAGTGCTGCTGGCTGTGTTTGTGCTTTCCTCACAATACTTGGAGTAGGAGGAAGCGGATATTCTCGGCTTTGGCAACTAGGGTTTGTTGCCAGCTTCTGCACTAAGTTAAGTGATACTGTCTCGAGTGAGATAGGAAAGGCATATGGCAAAACCACGTAAGTTTCTGTGTTTGGTTGAATTAAGCTCTTCATGTTCATGTTGTTAGAACTGATGTTATGGGTCTAATATTGGTATTCCATGCTTAATAACATCATATTTGGTTAATAAGTTCCGTTTTTTTTTGGCATTACATGATTAGCAACCCCAGAACGGCTTCTGATAGTCTATTCTTTGAAATTGTCATAGTTCATCTGTCTCTTCGTCTTTGCTTATTAGATTTTATTATTAGTTCAGCTTTACATGCTCTGGTGATTTTCTACATAGCATTTAGGTTTAATCCTGTTAGGATGCCAAGTGGCTGGTGGCATCACTTAGTTAGCCCAGGTGTCTCAATTGTTGAGTTGGAGATCTTGAGCCTGCAACCAGATTCTTAAGCTGAGATATGTGCAGATGCAAAGGGCGAATGAATATGTGATTGTATTAGTGTTCTTGTTAATATCTCTTAGCAATCTTGGGTTAAGGTTGATTTAGGTTCTATCATTGGTATTGAGCCAGTCTTGATCCTTAAATCCCTTCTCTGTTGCCGTATGACTCGTGTGTTGACGAAGAAAGCCATGGAATCTCAGAACCATCTTGCTGCCTGCGATTAACGACACTCTCAATGTGCTCATCCAGCGATTTGACGCCATGGAAGCTCGCCAAGATTTTTCTGATGCTCAATTTGAGAAATTGTACCGCGATTTTGTGGACAAATGCGATATGGGTTTTCCGGGTGAAACGTCAGATGCAACCCATTGGGATCCCAATTCGCATCATGCAACCCAATTCGCATCCGCTGTTTGTCAAAATGGCATCTCATATCTCAGTTGTGAAATGGAATCAAGTCATTCTCAAGCTTCAATCCTTCCATGAGGAAAAGATTCAAGCCCGAGAGGGAGTGAATCAGTTATTATCTCAATTTTGTCGAAGATACAAGCCCAAGACTCATCCTTGTGTACTCGACAAGAAAGTTGAAGATTCTGTGATAGTTTCTCCAGTTCTTGATTCTGATTGCATGAAATCCAAGGTTGCGTTCTGGGTTTTGCATTTGCTAATGGCTTGGCTACTGCTTTTGGAGATAAATTGAACACTCACAGTTCTAAATTTCTTGTTTTTAGTGGTGAATTCATGAAAAATGGTATTATTGTGCATTTGAAGCTTGGCTTCCATGAGTTGATTTGTGACAAAGGAGGAACATCTAGTCCAGGCCTCTTTAATTTGAAGTCTACTGGGGACAAACTTTTGGAGACAGCAAAGCCTTTACTGCGGACAATTTTTTTGTTACAGCAAAGCCCTTTCCTTGTATGAATGAATTTCGAAATTCTACTGAATATAGACAAAGAATAGATATGATGTTGGTCTCCTTAGGTGGAGAAATTTGGGGACGAATTATTTCAGTAATAGTGTCCACAGATACCAAATTCTTGCCCTCAGCTGAAGTAGTTCATTTAATGATCAAGACATATTCTAATTGCTTAGTTGTTAGAGAAGTATTGAACAAAGCAGGGAGGGTATTGCTTTTGGGCATTACAAACAGGCCCAAGTAAAAACAAGAGCAAGACAGACAATTTTGTGTTGTATGCTATTGAGAATAGATGTACGAGTCAGGCTGTTCAAGTGGAGATTGAGATGCATGGCTATGTGTTGTTGTGTGTAGCTGCCCTGGGTATCCTTATGCGTGCTAGAAATTCTGATTGTATGGTCACCATTGCTCCTTTTTTGGGAAGGTGTAATGTGGAGTTAATGTTTTCAGCAATGAGCTCTTGGTGGAAGCATACGCCTATGGTTTCATTAGTTCAGTACATATGTTGTTGCTCATTTACAAGGGAAAAATATATATGTCTTTTGTCCTACTTGTGGAAGCATTTTGCTGCAGCAAGTTGCTATGAATGCTGCTGCTATATACTACTGGCTTACGTTGCTCATTGTCTCAAGATCAACCTTGATTAGTTGGATCCATTGCCAAATCATAATCAAAAGAGTGCTACTGGAATTTTCAAAGTTAAACCTTGAGGACAAGGTTGATTTCTAGGGGAGGGGTAATGTTAGGTTTCCAAGTGGCATCAGTTAGTTAGCCCAGGTGTCTCAATTGTTGCGTTGGAGATCTTTAGCCTGCAACCAGATATATAAGTTGAGATATGTGCAGATGCAAAGGGTGAATGAATAGTTGGTTGTATTAGTGTTCTTGTTAATATCTCTTAGCAATCTTGGGTCAAGGTTGATTTAGGTTTTATCAAACCTTGTACACTGTATGATTGACACATAAGGTTGCATCAAATTCTGAAGCTATTATTAATTAGAAATGTATCTAATGGGTGCCAAAAAGGAAGTTAAATGGTTGTGCCTGGAACATTCCAGCAGTTTGGCCCAACCTAATGTCATGTGGCACAGCATTTTAAATATTGAAAATAAGAAAAGTATGAATTACTTATATCCCTCAACCTTTTCTATTTATGATCAGATGAAAGTCAAAAGCTTCAGTTGTCAACTGAATCTTGTGTTGGCTTGTAGGATTCTTTTTAGATGACTAAGTTATTTGGGATCGGGCCTTCAAAACTTTGACACATAATGAGAAGATGGTTCTAGTAGTTTTCTCATTCAGCGTGGTCCTGTCCATCAGTAAAAGAATGGACAACCATTACTGAAGCTATATTTTGTTATATTTAGTTAGCCAATAGAATTGCGTAAGCTATATTTTGTTAGATTTAGTTAACCAATATGTAAGGGCCGATACTATAAAAGTGCCTTAATCATGGTCTGGTTGTAACATAAAATGCATAATGCTTTAGCATTCACGTACAAAATCATTTAGTCTACTGTGCGGTTTCTAGTGCAGGATGATTGGAGCATAGTGAAATTTGAAGCTTTAATTTTCTGTTGACTACTGTTGGCAACATAAAGAAGCTAGGAACTGAAAGTATCAAATTAAGAATTAGATTCTCGTGACTTAGGTTGAGTCACTTGAAGTTGAATCAACAACAAAACTGATGTTTTTCATTCATGAAGAATCTTAGGGCTTACATTTGAATTCTGCTTTCTAACGGAATTAGAAGAAGCTAGGAACTAAAAGCGTCAACTGGAGAATTAGATTGTCATGAAATTATGTTGAGTGACTTGCGTCATCAACTAAACTGATGTGTTGTCGTCATTCATTAAGAATCTTAAGGCTTATTATCAAAGTCTCTTTTATAATCCAATTAGATGTTTTCTTTTGGATACACCTTGTAAAGTTATGTAACTGTTCCTTCATAGGTCAAGTTTCTCATTGGGAAAGAAATCCAACTAGTGTTGTGCGAATTTTTCTGCTAACTGGATAAACGTGTTTCTTTTTTCTTTTGAACTAAAGATCAACAAAGATTTCTTTGACATCATCACAAATTGTATTTTCTGTTACCCCATATCAATTTAAAATTCCAATAACATAAATTTTGCTTCTTGACCAGGTACTTAGTTACAACATTGAAGGTAGTCCCAAGGGGAACAGAGGGGGCTATGAGTGTTGAGGGAACCTTTTCTGGACTTTTGGCCGCTATCGTTCTTGCATTTGTTGGTTGTGCCATGGGTGAGGTGCTGTTTACGATATATACCCTTCGATGTTTGTATTTATTATTTGTCTGTCACTTAAACTTTTATGTTTATAACATTCCTTGTACTTTTGGTCAAACAGATAAGTGCACCTGAAGCAATGATATGCGTAATAGCTTCCCAAATAGCTAATCTTGGTGAGAGCATTATAGGTGCTGCTCTTCAAGAGAAGGAAGGATTTCGATGGGTAAGCAACGATTCCATGTTTGATTTTTTCATATCATACTTTAGTTCCTTTATTTTATGTATTCTGTTCATTCTCTAATAGAATCAGTTTGGTATGATTGGGCCATGGGTGTCGGGGGTTTTCTCTTAGCATATTAAGGAGCACCAATAGCCATCCCGTTTCATGGGGCTCCTGCGTATGTTTGAGCTTGATTCCTGGGTTTACTGAGCATGTTGGTGAATTAATGATGAATATGGTGAAGTATGGGGCTCTTTTATCCTGTTGAGGACCTGGTGATAGAATTACTGGGCAATATGGGGAGCACAGGGAGGTTCCTTGAATAACAACAGTTTCATGATACCATACCACTGCGACTCCCCAAATCGTGCAGAATTTTTTTTTAAAATGCATAATTTTCTTTAACTCCGCCGTGTAAGTTTATCTTACATTGCCGGTCTCAAGCCCGGATAAAGGAGGAGGGGGAGGGCGTCAGGTAGTCGACAGCCGGCACTCCATGATTACGTCGAATCCTTATGATAATTTTCTTTGTGCCTCAATTGCACTAATTCCCCTTCAAAAGCATGGACATGGAGGGCCCTAGAGGTTACAGCTCCATACAACAACAACAACAACAAAGCCTTTTCCCACTAAGTGGGGTCGGCTATATGAATCCTAGAACGCCATTGCGCTCGGTTTTGTGTCATGTCCTCTGTTAGATCCAAGTACTCCAGTCTTTTCTTAGGGTCTTTTCCAAAGTTTTCCTAGGTCTTCCTCTACCCCTTCGGCCCTGAACCTCTGTCCCGTAGTCACATTTTCGAACCGGAGCGTCAGTAGGCTTTCTTTGCACATGTCCAAACCACCGGAACCGATTTTCTCTCATATTTCCTTCAATTTTGGCTACTCCTACTTTACCTCGGATATCCTCATTCCCAATCTTATCCTTTCTCGTGTGCCCATACATCCCACGAAGCATCCTCATCTCCGCTACACCCATTTTGTGTACGTATTGCTGCTTCACCGCCCAACATTCTGTGCCATACATCGCTGGCCTTATTGCCATCCTATAAAATTTTCCCTTGAGCTTCAGTGGCCTACGACGGTCACACAACACGCCGGATGCACTCTTACACTTCATCCATCCAGCTTGTATTCTATGGCTGAGATCTCCATCTAATTCTCCGTTCTCTTGCAAGATAGATCCTAGGTAACGAAAACGGTCACTTTTTGTGATCTTCGCTAGATTGCTCCGATCATTAGTATGGATAAGTATATAAATGGATAGAGATAGGAAAGCAAACACAAGATGTACGTGGTTCACCCAGATTGGCTACGTCCACGGAATAGAGGAGTTCTCATTAATTGTGAAGGGTTTACACAAGTACATAGGTTCAAGCTTTCCTTTAGTGAGTACAAGTGAATGATTTAGTACAAATGACATTAGGAAATATTGTGGGAGAATGATCTCGTAGCCACGAAACTTCTAAGTACCGGAGTGTGGTATCGTCTTGACTTGCCTTATCTGTCTCATAGGTATATGTGGCATCTTCTCTGGAAGTACTCTTCCTCCATCCAGGGGTGGTATCTGTAACTGGTGGAGATGCACAAGGTAATGTATCAATTTCACTTGAAGCTTACTTGTAGTTTCATGCTTGGTCAAGCGCGATACAAACCATGTAGTAGGAGTCCCCCAAGTCGCCGAGCTAGGGGATCTGCTGAAAGAGGTGACAGACAAGGTAAGCAATCAGAGCTCCGGCTGATTGTTCACATTCTCCCTATCTTGCAGGCAACATGAAGGATAAAGAGAAGAAAAATGAGAAGAGATGATATGAGATACTTTTGCTTTTGAAGAAGTAACTTTCCACAGGCTTATTCTTGAACTGGGCTGAAGGGTTTTCTGGTTTCCTCCGGAGTATAAGGTCGACTGAAGAATTTGAGGGTCAAAACAAGTCTATCAAATCTAGAGTACGTTCGACCCTGCTGATATGGGATACTTTTTCTTTTGACAGAGTAGTGGATGTATCGGCACGTGTGCTGTTACGCTTGTCTCCACATGCTTCCTTGTATCCTTCTCACTTGCCCTATCTGTTCCTCAGGCAGATGCGGTATCTTCCCTGGAAGCATAAGATGTTGAAGATGAGTACTCGAGAGCAATGCCAGGTAAGTAATCAGGTAAGGGTTCCAGGCAGTCAGTTCCTGGCTGGAAGCTTGATTCCAAGTGTTGACTGATTGCTCTCTTTCTCCTTGTCTTGCAGGTAAGAACAAGGCCAAAGGAAAAGACAGGGAAAAAGCATGATATGGGATACTCTTGCTTTTAACCCTGATGATATGAGATATTCTTGCTCTAGTATAGCTTGTTTACAGAGGTATTATCGGGGGGAAAGAAAGCTGAATATTTCGAAAGGCTTCGTTGGGAGTGCCCTCTCAGATAAGAGAAAGGGTTGAGCATTTTTGCAGGTCTGCCTGTCCGTTAGGGATGGAGGTCGACATATATAGGAGTCTCCCTAACATCAAGTAATAATGTTATTCCTTTACCCTGCTTGGTCATAGCACGGTAGTGGGAGCTGCCAGCTTCACATGTTTTAACTCTGTCAAAGCACTTTGAAAAAGTGGTCTGTGGTATCTGGAAAGCTGATGTTGCGTGTGAAGATTACAGACAATCTTTATCCAAGGAGATCCAGCTCTTGAAGTTGGGAAAGTGGTGCCTTTTCGGTTTTTCGAACAAGCAATCCTGTCGGGGATCTGGCTCTCGAGATTCGGAGAACGATGCATCTTCGATTTTTTAGAAAGCAATCCTGCTGGGGGTCTGGCTCTCGAGATTCGGAGCGCGGTGTCTCTTCGATTTTTGAGAAAGTAATCATGTTGGGAGTCTGGCTCTCGAGATTCGGAGGGCGGTGCCTCTTCGATTTTGGAGCAAGCAATCTTGTTGGAAGTGTTTTCTCGAATGTGAGTAAAGGTTGGGCATGTTTGCTAGTCTACCTTGCCACGAAGCACAGAGGTTGACACACATGGACTTTACAATTATCCAGCAGTGGTACTGTTCCTTTACCCTCTCTTCGATTTTTGAGAAAGTAATCATGTTGGGAGTCTGGCTCTCGAGATTCGGAGGGCGGTGCCTCTTCGATTTTGGAGCAAGCAATCTTGTTGGGAGTGTTTTCTCGAATGTGAGTAAAGGTTGGGCATGTTTGCTAGTCTACCTTGCCACGAAGCACAAAGGTTGACACACAAGGACTTTCCAATTATCCAGCAGTGGTACTGTTCCTTTACCCTCTCTTCGATTTTTGAGAAAGTAATCATGTTGGGAGTCTGGCTCTCGAGATTCGGAGGGCGGTGTCTCTTCAATTTTGGAGCAAGCAATCTTGTTGGGAGTGTTTTCTCGAATGTGAATAAAGGTTGGGCATGTTTGCTAGTCTACCTTGCCACGAAGCACAGAGGTTGACACACCGGGACTTTCCAATTATCCAGCAGTGGTACTGTTCCTTTACCCTTGTGGGTAATAATATGGTAGCTAGACCTTCAAAATTTATGTGTCTAAACTTTGTTAGTGCTGTTTCTTTGCAATTCTTTTACCCTTCTTGGTCAGAGCGATGTAGTGGGAGCTGCAAGCTTCACGTGTCTCAACTTTGTCAGAGAACTTTGGCAAAGTTATCTGTGGTACCCATGAGCTACTGTTGCGTTTGGGAAGTGGGTGATTGAACAGTACGATTCATGTGCTTTCTACTTCCTTCGCCAGAAATCTTCGACAGAATGCCCATAATTTCCGCAAAGCTGAGTGTGCGTGTGACAGGTGCTGACAAGGCTGGAAAAGTAGGTGCCTCTTCGATTTCTGAGATCGGCCATCGTGGTCTCTGAGCAGCCCAGCTTTTGAGAAAGCAAGCCTCTTCGATTTCTGAGATCGGCCTTCGTGGTCTTTGAGCAGCCCAGCTTTTGAGAAAGCAAACGCCTCTTCGATTTCTGAGATCGACCCTCGTGGTCTCTGAGCAGCCCAGCTTTTGAGAAAGCAAACGCCTCTTCGATTTCTAAGCAGGCGCCTCTTCGATTTCTGAAGCTTCGTCGAGTGCAGATTTTTATAGGGGCTGACATTAAGTTCCAAAGCACACTTGAATATCCACCAGTAGAAGCTCCATTCTTGCACTTCTAAGATCTTAATTTGTCCGACCTCTTCTCTCTTCAACACCTTTGAAAATGTCTGGCCCCTCCGACCGTCGTTTTGACTTGAACCTTGTTGAAGAGGCAGCCCCGCCTTCTCCAGACAACATATGGTGCCCATCCTTCGTCTCCCCTACTGGTCCTCTTACCGTTGGGGATTCCGTGATGAAGAATGATATGACCGCTGCGGTAGTGGCCAGGAACCTTCTCACTCCCAAAGATAACAGACTACTTTCCAAACGGTCTGATGAGTTGGCTGTTAAGGATTCTCTGGCTCTCAGTGTTCAGTGTGCAGGTTCTGTGTCTAATATGGCCCAACGCCTATTTGCTCGAACCCGCCAAGTTGAATCATTGGCGGCTGAAGTGATGAGTCTCAAACAGGAGATTAGAGGGCTCAAACATGAGAATAAACAGTTGCACCGGCTCGCACATGACTATGCTACAAACATGAAGAGGAAGCTTGACCAGATGAAGGAATCTGATGGTCAGGTTTTACTTGATCATCAGAGATTTGTGGGTTTGTTCCAAAGGCATTTATTGCCTTCGTCTTCTGGGGCTGTACCGCATAATGAAGCTCCAAATGATCAACCTCTGATGCCTCCTCCTTCTAGGGTTTTGTCCAGTACTGAGGCTCCGAATGATCCCCCTCCGGTGCCTTCTCTTTCTGGGACTCTACCGACTGCTGAGACTTCTCCTAAGCAACCTTTGTGAAGGCTCCCTCTTGTTTGTTTATTTTGACTCAAATATATGTACATATTTGTAACTTATCGGGGATATCAATAAATAAGCTTTCCTTCATTTCAACGTATTGTGTTAAATACACCAAAGCCTTCTTCGCTAAGTTCTTTGAATTTTCTTTTGTTGAAGCTTGTATGTTGAAGCTTTGTGAGTGGAGCATATAGGTTGAGGTAGTGTTCCCTTAATTTCCTAAGTGAGGAAAACTTCTCGGTTGGAGACTTGGAAAATCCAAGTCACTGAGTGGGATCGGCTATATGAATCTTAGAACGCCATTGTGTTCTGTCCTGTGTCATGTCCTCCGTTAGATCCAAGTACTCTAAGTCTTTTCTTAGGGTCTCTTCCAAAGTTTTCCTAGGTCTTCATCTACCCCTTCGGCCCTGAACCTCTGTCCCATAGTCGCATCTTCTAATCGGAGCGTCAGTAGGCCTTCTTTGCACATGTCCAAACCACCGTAACCGATTTTCTCTCATCTTTCCTTCAATTTCGGCTACTCCTACTTTACCCCGGATATCCTCATTCCTAATCTTATCATTTCTCGTGTGCCCACACATCCAACGAAGCATCCTCATCTCCGTTACACCCATTTTGTGTACATGTTGATGCTTCACCGCCCAACATTCTGTGCCATACAGCATCGCCGGCCTTATTGTCGTCCTATAAAATTTTCCCTTGAGCTTCAGTGGCATACGGCGGTCACACAACACGCCGGATGCACTCTTCCACTTCATCCATCCAGCTTGTATTCTATGGTTGAGATCTCCATCTAATTCTCCGTTCTTTTGCAAGATAGATCCTAGGTAACGAAAACGGTCGCTCTTTGGTATTTCTTGATCTCCGATCCTCACCCCTAACTCGTTTTGGCCTCCATTTGCACTGAACTTGCAATCCATATATTCTGTCTTTGATCGGCTTAGGCGAAGACCTTTAGATTCCAACACTTCTCTCCAAAGGTTAAGCTTTGCATTTAACCCTTCCTGAGTTTCATCTATCAACACTATATCGTCTGCGAAAAGCATACACCAAGGAATATCACCTTGAATATGTCCTGTTAACTCATCCATTACCAACGCAAAAAGGTAAGGACTTAAGGATGAGCCTTGATGTAATCCTACAGTTATGGGAAAGCTTTCGGTTTGTCCTTCATGAGTTCTTACGGCAGTCTTTGCTCCTTCATACATATCCTGTATAGCTTGGATATATGCTACTCGTACTCCTTTCTTCTCTAAAATCCTCCAAAGAATGTCTCTTGGGACCCTATCATATGCTTTTTCCAAATCTATAAAGACCATGTGTAAATCCTTTTTCCCATCTCTATATCTTTCCATCAATCTTCGTAAGAGATAGATTGCCTCCATGGTTGAGCGCCCTGGCATGAACCCGAATTGGTTGTCCGAAACCCGTTATACATTTTTCCTTGTAGTTTGTTGTCAGTTTCAGCAGTGTGCAACATATTTCCCTGTGTCCTTACACTCTGTCCACGCTCTATTTTACAGCTCAACAACGATGCTGTGAATGTCATAAACATATCGATGGGCAGCATTTTGGCAGTCTTGATGCAGCAGGTTTTACTCCAGAACTGAAGTATGTAAATTGCCAAATTCATGAAGGTAGAAGATGCTTCTCCGACGTGCCAACCAGCTATGTTAACAAAATCGAACATGATGCGTATACTTTACACCGGTGACTGAAAAGACCGTTGCACTCTACGCGGGAGACAGATTACAAGCATGTTGCCTTGCTCGGATGGCAGTATTAACAATTTAGTGAGAGACTGTTCATACGAAGTTATTCAGAAAATTCTTTGGTTCGAAGCTCCCGTTCCCCAAAGAGAAAAAAATTACCCACGAAACGTTTTGGTGAACTATTTATCGTCGAAATGTATATGCAATGGAAATTATTCTTGTAGTAGTCAGAAATAGGATTATTTTGCTATATTCCATCAAGAACATCTTTTCTTATTGAAATGTAATTTTTTGTCTTTTAAAAAAGGGGGATAACTGGTGGCAAGCCACGGTTATTCACCTTTTTTGGGGGCCGGGAAGACTTACAGAGGCATTTCAGTCTCCCCCCTAACCACAAGTTGGCTTTCACACCTTGCCAAAATCCCCCTAAACTTGTACCCATTGCCAACTTTCCCTCTGAACTTTTATTGATAGCTAAATTACCTCCTACTGTTAAAGCTCTCCACATTTCATCTATGATTCTGTTAGTTTGGGGGGATTTCGACAATAAAACTAAATATTCTGTATCAGGAATCATTTATATATATTTTTTCTTTATGATTTAAGTGTGTTTTTTGGGAGCACTAATTCTTGAATACCAATTCTTATAAAAAAATCGGCTAAAATACTACGTTTTTAGTTTAGGTATCAATGGAAAAGTAAACAAAAATGATGTTATAAATACTATTCAATGCAATTACATGATTGCCACTCAATTCTAACATTTTTTTTGGCCGGCCAATTTCTCTTGCAACAAGTTCATCAGATTTTCTAGCAACCATGCAATTAAATTTTTCGGTCTCAAGGTCACTGTTCAATAGTGACGTGCAATGAAACATGTTAAGTAATGAATTTTATCATAAGTTCTCTAATTGTATTGTGTATACATGTAAAAACCAATAGTCGCACAACACATAAAATTGAATGAAAAAGTTACACAACTAAAATTTTCCGGCAATCGAAAAAAAATCCGGCCACTATGACGGTGGTCGACAACAGTTTCTGGCACTAGCACAGGTGTCATATGCAATGGGGAACAAAAATATAAATGTTTCTATACATAAAAGTGTATTTGCCACCAATTTATGGCTTAATCCAAAAAAAAGGGAATTAATTAGTAGTTTTCTTTAAGGTTGATAAATCTTTTTTCCTAAAATCATTATCTTAAAATTAATCTTGTATTTACATTTTAATCATTACTCACTTTCTCTCTTTCAACCGAAAACTCCATTCTTTTAATAACTTCCGTCACATGCATATCATGTCTACAATATCCAGTAGCTTTATTAACCTTCCAAATGAGACCTAATTCTAGAATCAAGTCAAAATGAATTGAATAAGACGGGTACTAGTAAGACTAATTTCTATAACCGTCATATCGTCACATAGTGCTAACAATCAAGAAACCCGGTTGGAATCTCATCATTTCATAGCAGACTTTCATGCAACCATATAAACCAAAACAAGAACTCAGACCAAACCATCCAATTTCCTCTAACAAAATCAGAAGCAGCCAAATTTTGATGATAAGCACCTTGTTTTGAACGCCCCCCAAAGAACAACCACCTGAAGTTCCTCTCTTTAAACATGCCCTCCTCGTTTTGCCACCTCCCTTAAACCCTCCCTATTCCATGCCTTACATTGTCTCTTAGCCTACCTGAAAAACATGTCCTCTTCTTCCCATGAAATTGTCCTCATCAGCTCCCCTGACGGCCCGATTATCGCCTACGATGCTTCCTCGGGCACTGCTCTAGCACAGTTCACAGGCAGCAGGTCCCCGCGTCGAGGTCTCACCATTGTTGGGAAGCCTTACATTGCTGCCTCACACGTATCTCCCACCACTGGTTCTGGTTCAATCCACCTTTACAACTGGTGTTCTTCATCTGCCTTGCATAACTTGCAAGTTCCGGAACCCGTTGCCCCCCTCGCCGCCATGTCTGACGGGGCGTACCTCTTTGCCGGCGGCCTGTCAGGGAGTGTTCATACATTGTCCATCCCGTCTGGGGATGTGCTCAAGTCATTGGCTGTGCATAACAAACCCGTGTCCTGCCTCGGGATCAGCGACGACGAGTCGCTCCTGATTTCTGGCAGTGATGATGGAAGCATTGTTGTTGTTCCTATCTTCCAGCTTGTGGCGGCCTCAGGATATGTATTATACGATAATGTGGAAGACCTGGTGTTGCATAGGTTTTCTGCTCATTCGGATTCGGTGACTGCCGTTGTTTCTGGTGTGGGATTGTACACCTCCCAGGTTATTTCGTGCTCATTGGATGGCACATGTAAATTCTGGAGCCTCTTGCGCGCGGCGCTCCTGCTTACGGTTGTGTTTCCGTGCGCTATTTCCGGTATTGCATTAAACCCAAGAGAACCCGAGTTCTATGCTGCAGGATCAGATGGTTCAGTATACAAAGGATTATGGAGAACTGGAAAGAGGCAGCTTGTAATGCAAGGCAAGGACTTGATCACCTGGAGTCCGAAGCACGACGGGGGAGTTGTATCTGTGGTGATGGTGAACGAGGGAAGGAATTTGTTATCGGCTTCGGAAGACGGGAGTGTCTGGGTTTGGCAAGTTGATGCAGGACAGGTGGTTATGGTTCTCGCTAACGAGATGGGGAGCATTAGTGATCTGGTGGCAGCCACGGGCACAAACTACAGCAAAGGGCATGATTTCAGCGCGAGCAACAGGGGTTATCGAAATGGGAGTTGCGAATTTGGGTTAACTGGAAAAGAACTGACGAGTATGCCGATAAAGATGTTAAAAATGGACGAGATGTTGAAGGTGGCAGCAAGGGATAGAAGCAGAGCGATTGACATGCTCGAATCTGCCATCGGAATGTATGAGAGGCTCTTGGAACTCATCCTCAAGGAAGCCAAGAAAAGTAGCAGCAACAACAAACAACGGTCATGAAAAGGATAAAAACTTCATACACAATTTCTATCTGCAAAAATGTGTTATTCAGACAAATGTATATCTCTATATAATACACACAGCGGTAAACATTGGTTCTATTTTCTCTTCGCCTTTCGCGTCCGCCTTCCTCAAGAAAAAATAAAACAGATGCAACGTTTAGTGTTTGTTCAAACGGGCACTAACGCAGAATTGCTAATGTCACATTCATCATATAGCGTTCATTTGAATGGAAATTCATCAGATACAGAAACATAAGAGTACAGGGTGCGGTATAAAACCGCCCTAACCATTCAAATCGTCCAAAACCAAATCAATCCGACCAGTTCGGTTCGAATTTTACACTGTAACAACATAATCGTCAGCCTAAATGAACCAAACCGCGAATCGTTGGTTTGGTCTGGTCTACATGAAAATGAAAACTACCTAAACCGCGTCTACCCCGTTAAACAGACAATACAAGAAGCCTAATGAAGGGATATTTCCTCCATTGCATTTCTTTTTTTCTGGCTGGTACTTGTAGGCCAACCATTGAAGTATAAATTCAAACATTTAACAGATGCACTCTTGTCCTATTTTCGACAGGTTGTTCATAATTCAAATTCCAGATGCAATTTGATTTGAAACATTCCTAACAATAAAAGACACGTGGCAAATTAACCCCTAATGCAAAACAAAAACAGAAAGCATGATTTGACAATATGGAAGTTCATAAAGTAGTGGTAGGCATGGGGCTGGGACTAGGAATATCATGCACAGTGAACAAGCACAGAACGTTCTAGTAGATCATATCTGATATCAGTCAAAGGAAAATTCTAGGCTGCGCATTTAAATTCCGCCAACAATTACGCCACAAGGTGACGGTATCTCAAATGAATCATGATACCAGCAACTTAGCATCCCAGTTGTATAAGAAACTGAAATCATAATGCATCACAGTTTTAACAATGTCAAATGAAAGAACAAGCTAGGAGGTCCAGCCCTTGTGAGCCTCTGTGCAATTGCATGAGAAAGAGAGAAGCTATGCACATGGCATGAGAGGCAAAGAGTCATGGGCAGGTCATCAGTTGTTTAGATTGTCTAAGTTAAGATGTCACATTAGCCCGACTGAGATATTTTTGATAGCATAGAAGTATCAAGGGATCAAGAAGTAAACATAGATTCAACGTTTCTTAGACATTGAAGAAGAACTAATCTCTCTATTTTCATCAAAACGAAAAAAGTGCTTAGAGACATTTGAAAAAAAATGAGTATTTTAACATGTCACGAGGTAATGGAATATATGACAGTCTTACATAAACACGAGATTTACTTCATTGAATTTCTTGAGCATGGTAATAACTCTGACTTTTTTTCTATCCAACAAAGGAGAACCTTAATAAATCTAAATGGGTAAAAATCAAATCGAATATATATGCAGTAACCAGATACAAGTCATACATATTTGTATTATCGCAGATTGATGTTTGCAAACACTTATTCTACCCTAGAGGAGAAAGAACGGTACAACAGATACTATATTATAAGCACAACAAACAAACCCAGCGTACGGTAATTTTTGTAGCAGGGACTAGAACTGCCTACGATGTTTTGAGACAGTACCATTATGTTGGGAACAAAAAGGGTTTTCCATTTGTGAGTGGCAGATGTCTGGAACAAACATTGTAGAAGAATCAGACGGATTCTGAAGACTTTTTGGCCAGTATAGTCCTGATGCTGTAGGTGGGGAAGGTATCTGTGGCACCATCCATGAGGCCTCCGGCACCTCACCTATGCACTCATAATCGTCCAGTTCCTCCTCAGATGATCTTAAAACTGGTGAGCCATATTCCCCAAGTTTACCGCAGTCAGCCTGATATCACAAGAAAGAAGCAACATTATGCACTTGTATAACCATAAAGCCTAGAGAAGCAGGCCATCACTCATCAGTCATAGAAAATTCAAGAATTTTGTCGACGGCCTAACTTCAGCCAGTTATTCCATAATCACAGGACCTTTGCAACACAACAGCGGTAAAAGCACTTTATGATGACCTAGAGAACAAGCTTATAGGACATCTCCTATTTGCAAAAATAAAGTGCAATAATCCGAATCTCTATATACTTGTCCATTAAGAGTTTTGAGACCCAATATCCAGTACTTCGCATTCGAATTTTCATGAAACCGAAAAATTGGCACCACAATTCCGAAAGGTTTCTCCAAAATCAATTGTTAAGTGCAATCAAAATAAAGAATGCAATTTGCAATATTGCAATAGGATAATGATGGTTAAATAAATCAATAATTATAAGATTAGCATTGGGTGCAAAGAGCGCACACACCTTTGAAGATCCATTATCAATGTAGCCAAAGCTCTGATCAAGATCAGAGAGTCCAAGAAACTCATCTATATAACACTGTGGAACAGTCCCAGCTGCAGAACCCCCAGTAAACGACATCCCCCCGGCAACTCCGGGCAGCGCCGCCTTGCACTCCACCGGCAACGAGTCCTGCGTTTCACATCTAGACACTGAGCCAGAACCAGACCCAGGACGTGACTTCATAGTAGAAGAAGACGCATCAGCACCAACACCAACACCAACACCAACCCCATCACCGTCGCCGAAATCCGGCTGAGCCGGCTCAGGCCCAACCTTGATTCCGGTAAGCAAAAACCTCCGGTGAGCTGACACGAAGCTATTAGCCGTGTGAACGGCAACATCACATTTTCTACAGAGCAAAGCTCGATCTTCTAAGCAGAAAAAGTACCCAACTGCCTCCTGCAAAACATTATCTCAAAAATTCAAGCAAACCCCAATTCGAATTTCATGTTTTTACGATAAAATTTCTCAACTTTTTCGATGTGGGATTTGAAATCATTGAAGTTTACCTGGCAGATATCGCATTTGGGCATGTGGGAGGAGGACAAAGGAACCCTCTGGTGCTTGCTCGCGAGCTTGTTCGCTTTGTGAACCTTCTCGTCGCACGGCCTGCAGAGAGCCGCCTCATCGGCGCAGCAGAGGACGTTCGCCTCCGCTGCCTCGCAGACGTTGCACTGTATCTTCATCTCTCTCTCTAAACCCTTCCAAAATCTCTGCTTTTGTGAGTTTGTTGGTGATTCTCTCTCTGCAGTTGAAGGATGAGGAGTGAGAGTTAAAAATGAGTGACATTTTATGAGGACAACGAGCAATTTCAAGGTGACACGTGGAGCGTTTTAACAAGTGTCGTGGCTTAGGAGGCCGCCGTTGCTTTGCAACTGTAAATTGGACGATATTTCTGTTTACAAAGAGTAATGCTAATACAAAGAGTAGTGTGGAGAGTCACATTATTTAAAAAATTTACAAAATCTAAGGAAATGAAGAAGAAAGACTCTTCGTATATTATAATCATCGTTTAATTAACAAGTTTTTCTTAATTATTATTTTATTAAATAATGAACTAAATTTAAAAATATGATTAATTCAAATGATGTAGATATCCACATCAAATACCACCTAAAGTGTTATGAGAATGTTGTAAAAAATGAATAGCATTACTCGTTTACAAATATCTTTGCGGATCCAGAGAGCTCAACTGACACTGCGTTCCGACAAACAAAAATTGACAACTTAATTCGGGTCGGGTTTTGATTGGCTCTTATCTATTGTCTATTGAGTTTAAAAGTAGAATTAGCAACCGTTGGCTCATCCTATACATTAAATTTTTTTTTTTATTTGAATGAGTTTAATAAAAATGATCTAATTGTTTTAAGAAAAAAAAAAAACAAGTAGTATTAGCGAAGTTGTATAATAAATGCTAACACGAAAACGAAAAAAATTTCAGTGTCTATATTGGGAGGGCAACTTAGAAAGAGTGGGAACCCCACGGCCTAGTTTAGAATGGACACCGGCCGGAGCAAGTTGGCAACATATGGAGGGTACCAAAATTAATGAGAGGGCTCATTGAAGGACCGGCATTGTTTGGTATGGGATGGTACACCTCTCTTGTTGAGTTTTTGAACTTTATGAGATGAGATGTAGGAACTAATTAAAGGTAGGTGTCCCTTAGTTGAAGGATTATTGAGGCTATAAAGGCTTATTAAATCTGCCTTAAATATCATCTAGTATCAACTTGTGTGGTTGTAAATAATTTAATCTTATGTGTCATTTGTACAATCATATAATGTAATGGAACTATCAATTTAAATAAATAATTAGCTCTCTAGGTGTCACGCCATTAAATCATAGGATTCAAATCCTGGACAGGCGGTGAAAGCAATCAAGCTGGATACAGTAGAGTCATAGTTCGGTCTTCTTCCCATTACTTAGACGTCTGATGGAAAACTTACATGAAATATATATATTGTTATGTGTTATTTTGTCTAATAATGCAATATTATATGAAAAGAAACTTAAATATGCTTTTCATTAATGATCATGAACGCTACATGACGACACACATATTTTATATTAGACACTCTCCTAGGCATAATAAGGTGACTTGTTGCCTTCTTCCAAGGGTTTTAGGACATTTGTTGAGCTCCTTGTATATGGGTTGTTCAAGACTTATAAGTCATGGTGCATTCAAAAACGTTGACTTGAAATTTTGAACTTATTGGGAAATGTTCACTTACTTGAAATGAAAGTAAAAAAAATGAGGCTCAAATTTAATACTTTTGAAATCTAGCTATACCTAAATATCATATTGGCACGCTTTAAACATGAAATGTTCTTACGTTTTACTATAAAAATTAAAAATTAAAAACGAAATGCCAAACAACTCTTTAGTTTTTATCGAAATTTGAAGAAGCAAACTGATTAATGAGTGATGGAACGGAATCAAATCGTGATCATTCAACTCAGTTAGTCCTATGATGCGGGTCGAGGCTACAACAAGATCATGATTCATGATCCATCGTATTGGCAGGAATTTAATTCCGAAAGAAAGGGGAAGTTTTCGGTCGGGTCTGCCGAACAAAGAATTAAAGTTCGGTGCTGGGCTAAGAGTGTTGAGAGTTTGGGCTCGAGTCAGCCCATTGTTTCACGTTCATATTAACCCGACCCGAATCTCATATCTCGATGGGCTTTTTTTTTTTTTTTTTTTTGGAATTTAAATTCAGGGAGCGTCTCGTTTTCACAAAGAAAGCTCAGTGAAGCACATTGTACCCGCCATTTCTAATTCGAATCAGAAGCCGTACGCGCACCAGTCTTCCCAGCAGCAAGAACGTTTCCCGCCAAATCCGTTCCCAAACGGCTAGGGTTTCTCTTCACTTCTCTCCCGCGTCCTCTTCGAATAGCTGTAACTTCATCTTTCCGATTGGAAGAGGCAAAAAAAAAAAAAAAAAAACAAAGAAACTTTCAACTTTTGCGGTAAATCTCTGTAAAGTATTACAACTTCGTATTTCGGATTGCATCGCCAATCTATCATCTGTAATTTTCGATTTCGTTTTACTTTTTGGATTTTCAGTAGGATTTCGTACGAGTCGGATAGACGGCCGAGTTGGACGAGCGGAAGATCACAATCGGACGGTCTGTAGTTTGATAGCTGAAGGTTTTGTTCTGAATTCAACGGAATCAAAGCTTTGGAGCAGAATTTTGGTCAACGTTCAGGTATGATTCTCTGTGGAAGTAAAAGTTTAACAACTCTCCTTTCACTGTTTGGTTGCTGGGAAAATGTTAAAAATCAAAGGAATTTGCATTGGTTATTTATTGATGAAGAAATCGAAATCATATTGTCAGTGAACATAAAGTTATTTCCTTTGCCGTTTCGATGAATGAAAAGATGTAATTTATGTGAAAATATGTCAGTTGGACAGATTATTATTTAAAATGATATCACTAAGTGATTTGAGTATAGGAGCACAATACCCTAACTAGAGCAACGTAGAAACCAAGGGTGTTTTCAAGTGCACAAGACGAGGGATAGAAGATATCCGTAAGCTCTTTTTATCCTACACTCTTAGACAGGATAGGATAGTATATATACTGCACGAGAATAAATATGGAATTCATAATTGTGGAAAGAACTGATCATGTAATTTGTTAAATAGATGCTTAGTTGGAACAAGTTACAGGTAAAATTTTCTTTGCTCGAATTCAGTCGTGTCATCTGAGTTTAGAACCTTTTGTCCATCGTTAAACTATAAATTTCTTGACAGAAATTCATTAGACTTGTGTATAATAATAAAAAAATGAGAGGTACTGGAAAAGAAAATTTCCTCTTACTTGTTTGATCTTCAAAGTTATCTAGTTAAGATTTCAAAACTTGTTGCTGCATTGTTGGAAAGATTGTCTTACGCTAAATTGATTTTGAATTCCCAGTTGTGAGTTGTAAAAACTATCTCTGAATTTTGAAACCATCATGTGGCCTTTATGTCAATTATGAATAGACCGGTATCTTATTTTTACTAAGCTGCTTTCATGTCAAATCACTTGCAGGATGGTATTTTGTGAGTATTTCCAAGTCACAGCATGATTTTATCCTTCCTGGTTTCTCATTTGAATTGAAACCCGTAACAGAAAGCATGTAAACCAGTCAAGATAAGCGTTGTTGATTACCATGTTTTATGTGCCCCAGATATGCCAGTGCATTAGAGATTGTCTTTGAAGGTTGAAATGAGATGCAATGCGTGTTGGCGAGAACTGGAAGGGCGAGCTGTTTCTACCACATGTGGCCACCTTTTGTGTATCCTGTGGAGAGGAAAATTTTTCCTCGACATTTGTCTAAATTTAACTTTCTTGTGGAAATAGGGTTGTTGGTATATATGAAAATATGAATTTCCTTAACAGTGTGAAAAGGCACAGAGGATGCGGGCAAGATCCTTGGCAGTGACGGAGCGTGTCCAGTTTGATCAAGTGCTCTCTAAGAGGTAAGAAACTCTGTTGATCTTAGAATGTCAGCATTTTCTGGGAATCTGTATTCTTCAAGCCTTTCAATTAAGTGTGCAGGTGCACTGAGCATACATGAACATAAATGAGAGGGTGTCATCCTTTCTTTTTTAGTAAGTAATATGAGAGTGTAACTATATGCACTGCATCAGTATGGAATAACTGCCGAAAACGAAATTTAGTCTGTTTCTGGTATCAATTGTTGCTGCAGAATCATTTTTCATGCAGCAATTAGTTTGAACAATTCTTGACAGAACCGAAAATTCAAGCTATAATATGACAGTTCTTGCCACCAATAAAACATAGCGTTTGGAATAGAAACACTGTGGCAAACTTATTTCCGACGTACATATAGCAGTTGCCTTATTTTCATTTTGCCCATCTCATTTATGCTTTCCTCTTTGCAGTCATATGAAGGCTTTTGATATCAATCCAAATGACGAATGGATAAGTGTAAGCACGCGATCACTGAGTAGACCTAGCTTGCCTTCATACCTTATATTACTTTTCCTTTTGTGTTTGTAGCTTCTGTATCCTTTTGATAATGCTCGCAACATATTCTGTTTCAGATGGCCATGATTGGAGTGTCTCCACAGATATGTATCCTTTTCTATGTTTTTTCTGCAATCGAATAATCTGATACAGTGATTGGTGCATTTCTTATGAGGGAATGACAGAGCTTGATTAGGTTTTTACCGTATTGTATTCAATGTTTTGTATAGGGACAATGGACAGGACATCTTTCCCTTGACAGTATTCCTAGTAATGAAGAGTGCACACAAAAGTGTCATGTTCTACATTGGCCAAAGGGAATTGGAAATGCAGTTCAAGATGAACAGAATACAAGCTCAGTATCGGCAGAAATTTGAAGCAATGCAAGAGAAGTTTGGTGAGAAAATGGAACAACTGCATGCTACATACCAGAAAATGGCGAAAAGGTGCCAAATTATGGAACAAGAAATTGAGAGCTTGTCCAAGGATAAGCAGGAGCTGCAGGAAAAGTTTTCAGAGAAATCCAGGTCTTGTTTCCATACCTACTCATACTAATTCCTGAGGCATATAGTCCCGTGATTGGGGCCCTCGTATAATGATTTTCTCTATTCATGTACCAGACAGAAGAGAAAATTAGATGAAATGTATGATCAATTGAGGAGTGAGTACGAGTCAGTTAAACGATCTGCCATCCAACCTTCGACCAATTTCTTTTCAAGAAACGAACCTGATATTTTCTCAAACCAAGCTAACATTATGATGGATAACAGAGAAGCTGTTAGAAAAGGTAA